ACCGCACTGTTAGCACTGAGGCTCAGCTTTTTGTACTGCCTCCCCCCCTCGGTGCTACCCTCTACTTCGTTGCCACGCGCCTTCCTGACCGCCTAGCCACAACCCGCGACCACTTCCTTGCCCTCAACCCTGCTGATCTGAATCTCACTGACTTTGTCACTACCCTAACCACCAAAGAGACCCGCCAGCGCACTATCTCTCAGTCGAGCGGTACTCGGCGGTCCCTATCTTCCAGGGCTGTGCTCCCTCCCAGTGCACTTACCCTGACCTCTTTGTCGCTGAGACGGCCCCTGCTGCAGAGACCGCTACGGCAGCCTCAGCGCAGTTGCGTCAGGGTATGGGACGTCGTGCCTTGGGGGGGCGTGGCGGCGGGAGGGGTGGCGGGGGTGGCGGGGGTGGCGGAGGTGGCAGAGGTGGTGGAGGGGACGGTGGTGCAGACGAGGGGACCGGGGCTGGTGCCCCGGAGCAGCAGCCTCATCAGCAGCAGCAGCAGCAGCAGTCGCCGTGCGCGCCTCACCGCCGTGGTGGACTGGCGTTTCTGGTGGTGGTGGGGGGCGCAGCTCGGTGTCAAGTGGCGGCTCTAGTGTGGTCAGTTGCCAGTACCAACTTCAATCCGACCCCCGCCGTGGCACCATTTGTGACTACCCCGGTCACACCGCCGTACGCTGCTATCGCCACCTCGACGACCTCTTCCGTCTCCACTTCGGCCCTACGGCAAAACCCCCCGACTGGTACAGCCTGGTGCGTCCTCGTGTGCCTGTCTTTGAGATGGACATGGATCAGATTAGGTCTGCTTTGTATGCCATGTATGTTGATGACTCTAGTATGACTGGACCCTATTACTCGGTGTTGTCTAGCATATGTGTGTCCCCTTTGTGTAATCTAGGTTCCCCTGCTGCGTCAGGCATAGGACCCCTTGCATTGTTTAGCCTAGGCTCCACGCTAGCCCCTCCGCCAGCAGACGCTATTGCTTCGCTCTCCTTCACGCTCAAATTTGGAGCGTTTGCCTGCTTCTACCGCGACCACACTTCACTCACGCCTCTTGCCGCCCCTGCCGCTGTCGCGCTTGCTGACCCCTCCTCAGGTCCGGTAGTTGCCCGTAGCTCCACCACCCTTCCCTGTCCGGTGGTCCCCTCGAATTCTCTTACAGGCCTGCACATCCCCTCGTTCTCCACGAACCTAGTTGGTGTCGGGTGTCTTCAGGACCTCGGCGTCACCACTACTTTCCCTGGTCACGAGCGGTACGCGGTCTGTACCGAGGCCTCCACTGGTGCTCCTCTGACCACGTTCCCTCGGGACCCTGTGTCTGGCTTGTTTACGCTTGACACTATGTCCCCCCTGGTGAGGGCGTCCCCCCAGGTGCCTACGTCGATCCAGGTCGCTAAGGCTTGCTCGTGTCGGTCGCTCACTCACCCATCACTGCTGTGGCACTACTGCCTAGGTCACCCCGCACTCCCGTGTCTACGTCACATGTCCCATCACGGTCTTGTCTTCGGTCTCCCATGTCGCTCTCTACCCTTCCTCCCTCGCCTGTGCCATTGTGCACGCCTTGTGTCGAGGGCCGGTTGCATTGTGCTCCTCACTCCTCCTCGCTTTCCCCTACCATTGCGCCACTCCAGACCCTGCATCTAGACGACTGGGGCCCAGCCCCTGTCCCTGGGCCATGTCGTGAGCGCTACTTTCTAGTACTTGTCGATGACTACACGCGCTACACTACGGTGTTTCCCCTGGAGCAAAAGGCCGATGTGCCTGGCGTTGTTATCACGTGGGTCGTGGCTGCGCGAGTCCACCACAGCTTCCCTAACTGCGTCTCCACTCCGACCGTGGCAGCGAGTTCGCCTCTTGTCGGCTTGGCCAACTCTGTTGTGCGGAGGGCATAACCCATTCCTACACCCTGCGAGACTCCCCGCCGCAGAATGGGGTCGCTGAGCGCCACATCGATTTGGTCATGGAGGTGGCCCGTACCTCCATGATCCATGCAGGTGCACCCAATTTTCTGTGGCCGTTCGCCATTCGCTACGCCGCTCACCAGCTTAACCTGTGGCAGCACCCTCAGCGGCCGCAGGTTTCGCCGACCCTTCTCTGGACCGGGTTCCCTTGTGACGCGTCTGCGTTCCACGTCCGGGGCTGCCTTGCTCACGTTCGTGCCTCTGGTACGGTCAAGCTCATTGCCTACACTATCCCCTATGTCTTCCTTGGCTTCCCCCTCGACACGTCTGACTAGCACTTTTACCACCTGTCGTCTCAACGTTTCTTTCACTCGCGTGACGTTATTTTTTATGATTTTGTCTCCTTCCCCACCCCTGCTTTTGGTTCCCACTCCCCCGGTAGCCCCTGCTCCTCTCCCTCCCCGTCCTTCCCCACCTGGTGTGTCTCACGTCACTCCCCTCGAGTCGGTTGTCCCAGTCACGGAGTCGGCTGACTCTGGTGGCCCCGCGGTACCGTTCTCGCTGCCTGTCTCCGCCCCGGTGTCTACTCCTCCGTCGTCGCCGCAGCAGCACCCGCCGCAGGGGTCCCCCAGCTCTGGGGGTGCGGGCGTTGACCAGGGTGCTAGTCCTCGGGTCCTTGTCGTGGCTTGTCCCAGCGGTCCTTGGGGTGGCACCAGTGCTGGGGAGGGTACTCGTTCTGGGGGTCCTGGTTCTGGGGGTGGTAGTCCTGGGGTTAATGTCGTGGCTTGTGGTGGTCGTGGGGGTGGCACCGGTGCTGGAGAGGGTTCTCGTCCTAGGGGTGTTGTCGTGGAGAGTCCCGGAGGCAGCCGTTGTGCTGCTGGAGGTTCTGGTGTCGGCGTGGAGCAGCAGCAGCAGCAACAGTCGCCGTCGGTGTCCGCCCTTCGCCCCCTCCGTCTTCCCTCCCTTGGCCACCCACCTGCGCCTCCCCTGCCTGTCTACAGCCCTGTGTTTCCGCTGCCGAACTCGTCTCCGGCTCGTTTCCCCCTTTGTTCTCCTCCTGTGTCTCCTCCTGTGTCTCCTGACCCGACGCCTCCGTCCCACTTCTGGTCTCGCCGTCCCTCTCGTGCCCGTCTTGTCTCTCCCGTTCAGCGCTCTCACCCTATGTTACTCCATTCCTAGGCGACTCGTCCTTCCCTCCTCTCGTCGCCTCCTCCGTCGTCGCTTGTTGTCGCTCCGCCTCCTCTGTTTGACTACCTTCGTGCCACTAGTCCTCTCGTTCCTCAAGTCCTTGCCTCCCTCGTTACCGACCCGTCTGTTCCTGTCTCGAGTCTTGACGCTCTTTACACTGCTGTCGCTTACTTCGCCTCTACCCGCCGCCTTGACTATGCCACCGCTATGGTCTCTGACCCTGTCTGTCCTCCGTCCGTTGGGAGTGCGTTTGCCCTTGGCAGTGACGTCTTAGAGGACAGGCAGTTCAAGCTTGTTTTCCTGTGCGAGGCTGCTCCCCATCTCTGCTCCATGCTGCTAGTCCTTGAGGGTGACCCTGACGCCTTTGACCTCCCAACCCCTCGCACTTACGCTGAGGTGACCTCGGGACCCTGGGCCTCTGGGCAAGGTCACTGGGAGCGCGGCCAGAGGTTAAGCTGGTGAGCGGCGTAGCGAACGACGAATGGCCACAGAAAATGAGGTGCACCGGCATAGATCATGGAGATACGAGCCACCTCCATAACCAAATTGATGCGTCGCTTAGCGACCCCATTCTGCTGCAGGGAGTCCGGCAAGGTGTAGGATTGGGTGATGCCCTCCGCACAACAGAACTGGCCAAGCCGATCGGAGGCGAACTCGCCACCACGGTCGGAGTGGAGACGTAGCACAGGGAGGCCGCAGTGGACTCGCGCAGCTATGACCCACAAGGTCAGGGAAATGCAGGAGGAGGAGGAGACGACCGGCAGGGGCGGAGGAGGGATTAGAATAGCATGCAATAACAACATCTAAGTACGCCTGCGCAGTCTCTAGGGCCTGATAGCGGGGGCGCTCAGACAGGGGGAGGGAGCGACTGATAGCAAGCCGCGCAACTGCGTCACGCGACTCCCAGACGGAGCGAGTGGGCTCAGCAGCTGCAAAGGCCTCACGCTCAACGGGCGTGGGGGCGTCAGAGAGGGCAGCAGGCGGGTCGGGGCAGGGGATCTTACAATCGACGTGAATGGCCAGAGATTGGCCATTCAGGCGCTGTCCCCTCAACGAGCGGTGGAGGTCGACGAGCCACGCCTCAAAGTCGATCGCCTGACCCTCCGCGTTCAGATGGAGCACAGCGTCCGCCATCGCCACGGCTGCAGCAGCTGACCGCCGCTAGGGAAGGAGGAAGAGAGGGCGGTGGAGAGCAGCGGTGGAGACGGCCGGCTGGAGAGCCGACACAGTAAGGGGAACCAAGGCCGGCAGGTCGGGGCGCCACAGCAGCACGGCGGCTCAGCAACTCGGCGACGCGGCGATACTGCTACTCGGCGGCTCGGCGGCGCAGCGGTGTGGCGCGGCGCGGCTCGGTGGCGTAGCGGCTCGGCGGCACGGTGCGGCGCGGCGTGACGGGGCGGCACGTTGCGGCGGCGCGGCGTGACGGTGCCGGCGGGGAGCGACGGGGCCGGCACGTCGTGACCGAGCCGGCGCGTCAGGATGGGGCCGGCACGGGGTGACGAGGCCGGCGCGGCGTAGTGGGGCCGACTTGGCGGGACGGGGCGGCACGGCGGGACGGGGCCGGCGCGGCAGGACGGGGCCGGCGTGGCGTGACGGGGCTGGCACGGCGTAGTTGGGCCGGCGCGGCGGGACGTGGCTGCACGACGAGACGGAGCCGGCGCGGCGTGAGGGGGCCGACGTGTTCTAGTGGGGCCGGTGCGGCGAGACGGGGCCGGGGCAGAGTGACGGGCCGGCGCGGCGTGACGGCGCCGGCGCGGCTTGACTGGGCCGGCGTGGTCTAGCGGGGCCGGCGCGGCGTGACAGGGCGCGGGCTAGGGCGCGGTCTAAGGCTAGGGCTAAGGCTTGGGGCGGAAGCGTAGGCGGGGAGGGAGACCTAACCTAGCGTGATACCATGTTAGAATAACGCAATGATTACAAGGCAGAGGGAACAAGGAAGATATAGGGTTTGGTTTGTTCGCTCTAAGAACACACACCTATTATAGCCTATTACTTCTATATGCAAATGTATGTATAAGTTGACAATAATAGCAAAACAGCTGCTGAAAATATCAAGCTATGGAGGAAATTACGGTAGTAGTTTCCCCAATCATATGCAATAGAAAACTGCCCCCTGCTTTTTCACTTGGGCGGCGGCGGCATGAGGCGGATGAGAATATTGTACAAGAACTGGGGGTACACATCCAGGGGACCCGGCTGGCAGTAGTGCAAGCAGTCGGGCTTGTCCCTACCCGGCACCATACCCACATGCCCATCCCACCGCAGGGCAAGCATCCCTTCCACATCCATATACACCGCTCCCGATTCCTCCACAACCTTTCTCACCGCCTCATTCTGCTCCCGCAAATCCTTCCAGTAATACGGCAGCAACTCCTGATCCTGCGGCTGCTTCAGTGGCCTATCCATGCCCGCACACTCTACATGCCCTGGCGGGGTATTCCTATAGATCACCAGCTTATCAGGGAAATGCTGGCGGATGTATCTCGCTGCGGACCGCACGCCGCTGAGGAAATCCTCGGTTGTGGTCCAGTGGGCCCCACGGTTGATGAGGATGATATCGGCAGTGGCGAGGTGGGAGAGCGCTGGGAGCACCCACGGCATGCGGTCGTATTCTGGCGTGCGCGGGTCGAAGATCCAGAGGCGGTCCGAGCGGATGTAGTCGAGGTGGAAGCCGGGGCAGAGAGTGGAGTTGAATATGAAGCTGGGGAGAGGGGGGGAGAGAGGAGGAGAAGAGGAAACGAGGAGAGAGAAGGGGAGAAGAGAAGGGGAGAACAGGGAGGGGTGAGTGAAGGACACCTAGAGGCAGTCCAAACAGATGTAATCAACGTGGAATCTGGGGCAGAGGGTGGAGGTAAATTTGAAGCTGGGGAGAGGGGGTGGGGGGAAGAGGGGAGCGAGGGGGAGAAGGGAAGAGGAGAAGAGAAGAGGGGAGCGAGGGGGAGAAGGGAAGAGGAGAAGAGAGGTGGGGAGCGAGGGGGAGAAGGGAAGAGGAGAAGAGAAGAGGGGAGCGAGGGGGAGAAGGGAAGAGGAGAAGAGAAGAGGGGAGCGAGGGGGAGAAGGGGAGAGGAGAAGAGAAGAGGGGAGAGAGGGGGAGAAGGGGAGAGGAGAAGAGAAGAGGGGGAGAAAGGGAGATGAGAAGAGAAGAGGGGGAGAAGAGGAAACAGGGAGGGGTGAAAGGGGGAGAGGAGACCCAGAGGCAGTCAGAGCGGATGTAGTTGTGGTGGAATCTGGGGCAGAGGGAAGCGTTGCAAATGAAGCTGGCGGGAGGGAGGGGGGAGGAGAGGAGGGGGGAACGGGGGAGGGAGAGGGCGAGGGAGACGATTCGGAAAAACTGAGGGGGAGAAGGGGTGAACAGGGCTGAAAGCGCGGGAAAAAGGGAAGGAGAACAGCTGGACATTTTGGAGGGAAACGAAGGGTGGAATCAGAAAGACAGGGAAAGGAGCCAAGTAGTGTAGGTAAAACAGGTAGAGTAGAGTAGTGATGGGTGGACAGCGGCAAAGAGCCTCTGATGATCCATCCCTACAAATCTTACCCAATTACTCCTACCTAATCCACCCCTGCCCGGCACCCACCAATCAACCCCTCCACCTCCCCCCCTCCCCCCTCTTGCCCTTTTACCTCCTGCGAAACTCATGTTGGGCGCTCATCGTTAACCAGCACAGCAGCGCATCCCTGCGAAAAAGTCAAGATTTAAGGCGCCTCAGAACCAGAGGCCCCCTCCCCCCTCCCCCCTCCCCCTCCCCCCTCCCCCCTCCCCCTCCCCACTCCCCCCTCCCCCCTCCCCCCTCCCCCCTCCCCCTTCCCCCCTCTCACCTCCTGCAGAAATCGTGCTGGAAGCGGCTCTCATCGTTATCCAGCACAGCGGCGCACCCCTCTGGCGCATGCACCTCGTGCATCAGCTTCGATGCGGGCTTGCGCACGTCCCTGGCCAGCGCGTTGATGAGCGACTGCGTCAGCTGGTGCTGCTTAGAGTCGCCCACGACCAGCATGCGCCGGTGCTTCAGAACCCTCTCGCAGAAATCCGATGGGTCAAACGGAAGCCAGGAGGTGGAGGAGGAGTTGAGAGGTGGTGCTACAAGACCTACCTTCTTAAGCCGTCGTCGTCGCTGCTCTTGTTGTTGCTGTAACTGTAACTGTTGCTTTTGCTGTTGGTTTTGCCTACCAAGGGGAACAGATTCCAGCCTCCTCCTCTTCTTCTGTCCCTTCCATCCCTCTCCTCCTCCTCCTGCTCCTCCCCCCGCTCCCTTCTCCCCATCCCCATCATCACACGCCCCCTCGTTCAACACCCACTCATACTTCAAAGGGGGCTGAACCTTCCACGCCTGAGCATCCGGCTTGGCAGTTGCTGCTATCGCATCCGCAGCATTCCGAGTCAAATACCCCCTCCCCTCGCGCTCACCCCTCACATCGCACGGGTTACTGTGCCCATGAAAGTCCCAGGGCAGTCGGCGCGGAGTAGGGTTCTCCACCCACCTGCCTTTCCTCCCCACACACGCGGCCCACGCCTTAAACCTCCCCACTCGCGCCCTATCTCGGAGCACCGAGCCGGGGATAAACTCCCTATTAAGCTGGGTCCGGGTAGAGCCTCCCCCAGGTAGCACCGGGCTTCGGAATACCACCGATTCAATGTGAGTGAAGAAGCGTTTGACAGTCATGGGATGGCAGTAGAGCGTCACAGGGTCATCCTCGTCAATCGCTCTCCGGGATCGCTTGCAGATATAGGAGGCGTATTTTAGGCTGAGCACATGTGCAAAGGCACGGTGGGCGCTAGTGGCCGATTCCCGCGGCTGGAACTCAAACACTGTAGCGCCGGGCGGCATGAAAATCATGTTCAGCAGAGCCTCGCCTGGCGTGGTAACCAGCAAAGCTGCCCGGGCGAAAAGTTTCCTGGTGGCTTCGAAACCCTTGCCTGCTAGGTGCGGCTGTATCCGCCCGAACCAGAAGTTGTCATTCAGGGCAGCCTCATGCTCCTCTGCTTTTTCAAGCTCCAGTACTCCTGGCGGCTGGGCGTTTATCACCACCCAGTCTTTCCTAGGGATCGGAAGGGCTGCTAACTCCGCCCCTCCCGCTGCTCCCGCCTCCCCTGCTGCTGCTGCTGCTTCGGCTTCCTCGGCAGTGGCAGGCACGGGTGCCACCTCCCTCCTGCGCCAGTTCTTGTCGAACAAGGGGAGACCGTTCGGGGGGAGGAGGTGGTGGGAGCGCAGGGCGCGCCAGAGAGCGGGGCTGGGAGCGGCGCAGTGCTGGAAGAAGGGCTGCACGAGGCGCTCCACAAAGATGAGGTGCTGCGCCTCCTCCTGCAGGACGAGTGCCCGGCGCGAGGGGTCCCCGCCCAGAATGTGCAGGGCTAGAGAATGCAGGTACTGTGGGAAGGTTGGGGGTTTGGGGGGGGAAGGTGTGGAGGTGTGGGTTGGGGGGTGTGTGGATGGATGGGGAATTGGGCATGGATAGGTGGGCATGAGAGAGGGAGGGAGGGAGGGAGAAAAGAAGAAAGGAAGGAAGGAGGAAGAAGCGAGGGGTGGCGTCATTGCTTCAGTCGTCAGCTCCTTAGGGGGTGAGAGAGAGACAGCTTCCCTGCTTTTATGCCCTCACCCTTTTTTATGGACCAGGAACTGTACGTCGTGCTCGACCAGTTTGGGCAGCAGCAGTGCGAGCGGCAGGAAGTGAGAGGAAGAGCAGCAGGAAGTGAGAGGAAGAGCGGCAGGAAGTGGGAAGAAGAGCGGCAGGAAGTGGGAGGAAGAGCGGCAGCTGGAGCACGAGGCAGTGGAAGACGGTGTGTTTTAGGCTCCCACCGGGCTAGCATTCTTCTGCAGCCATACCTTTTTCTCATGGACCAGGAATCTGGCGTCGTGCTCGACCAGCTTGGGCAGCAGTGGCGCGAGCGACGGGAAGAGCGGCAGCTGGTGCACGAGGCGGTGGAAGACGGTGTGTGGGAGGGGGAACGGGAGATCTTGCCCTTTTTCTGCACCCATACCTTTTTCTCATGCACCAGGAACCGTGCATCATGCTCGATCAGCTTGGGCAGCAGCGGGGCGAGCGGGAGGAAGAGCGGGAGCTGGTGCACGAGGCGGTGGAAGACGGTGTGGAAGCGCGGGTGGCGCGCCTTGAGGTGGCGCTGGGGGGACGGCACCATGAGGTTCACCACCAGCTTGTGCACCGTCACCTGCGTGTCTCGGTGGTAAACAAACTGCGGGGGGGGGGGGGGGGGTGTTTGGAGGGGAGGAGAGGGGAGGAGAACGACGGGGGAGAGGGGAAGCGGATGTTTTAACGTCTCAGTAATACGGGGGGGGGACGGCACCATGGTGGCACCATGAGGTTCACCACCAGCTTATGCGACGACCTGCGTGTCCCTGTGGTACAAGAACTGCGGGGGGGGGGGGAGTGGAGGGGGGAGAGAGTGAGGGTGGGACAGAGAGTGGGGAGAGCGTGAGGGAGGGACAGAAGAGAAACTGGGGGGATCGTTGGAGGAAGGAGAGAGCAGTGCGGTAGCAGCATTGCTATCGCACCCAAACATGGGTTTTGTGAGCGTCAGAGAGAGGCGAATCCACCCTCCGTCATCCACCCCTCAAACCCATAACCCCCCCCCCCCCCCCCCAATCCCCCCTTAACAACTTTCCTCCTCTCACCTCTCCCAACTTTTGACTACCGCCAGATCCTGCTCTGCATTTCTATCCCATCACAATCCCCCTATCCACCCAACAATCACAGTCAACCATTCACACTTGGTCCGGAGGCTACAGCCGCAGCCACAGCCAACCACGGCGCTCTATTTCCTCCCATCTTATCCCATCCCATCCCATCTCTCCCTCCCATCCCAACCATCTCCTCCCCCACCTTCTGTCGGCGCAGGTGAGGGCGGCATCCCCCCGCGCGGAAGACATGCGAGGCGTTGAACACGAGTCCCCACGGGTCCACGAACACATTGTGCAGCACAAACACCTGTCCCGCCCATCCGCCCATCCCGGGCAACAGCCAACCACAGCCAACCACGGCGCTCTATTTCCTCCCATCTTATCCCATCCCATCCCATCTCTCCCTCCCATCCCAACCATCTCCTCCCCCACCTTCTGTCGGCGCAGGTGAGGGCGGCATCCCCCCGCGCGGAAGACATGCGAGGCGTTGAACACGAGTCCCCACGGGTCCACGAACACATTGTGCAGCACAAACACCTGTCCCGCCCATCCGCCCATCCCGGGCAGCAACCGCTCCCTCCCCGCCAACCCTGCCGACCCCTCCTCCTCCCCTAACTCCATCTCTCCTCCTCCCATCCCTCCTCCCGCTCCGCCTCCTCCCATGCCGAATCCGGACGTCCCCTCTCCCCCCCCTGGCGCTTCCTGTTGAAACTCCTCCTCCTCCTCCTCGGGCTCGACGGTGCAGTTAGCCAGGAACACGTCGTTAAGCGACAATTTAACTCCGTGCAGCGGCGGACAAACCACACCCCTTTCACTGTTCTTTCCGCTCACCTGAAGCTTTCTACCCTCCCGGCCCTGTCTTCCCCCTCCTCCTCCTTCCCCCGTTCCCCCCCCTTCCCCCTCTCCCCCATCCCCCCCTAACCCCGGATCTACTAACCCCGGATTCCAGCAAGCTTCTATCCCTAGGCCACACATCTCCATATTAGGGCAGTTCCCTCCTCTACACGCCAGGTGCCTCGGTCTCAGCCGCCTACCCCCCACCCAACCCCCTAATAACTCCTCCTCCCTCGCTTCAGGACCGAAAACTGCGCCACCTCCCCCTTTTGCCGGGAAGAAGCTAAGGCTGAGCTCCGCGAGTTGCTTCCGCCGGATCGCGCGGTTTAAGGTGCGGATGTTCTTATGGCCTGGCACGTGGTCTAGGAGCGCCTCGTTGGCTAGGGAGCGTCGGGGGATGGCTTTAAGAGGGAAGGAGGACGAGCCGCGAGAGGAGGAGGAGGTAGAGGAGGAGGAGGGGGAGGAGGGAGAGGAGGAGGATGGAGCGGCATTGAGGAGGAAAAGGGAGAGGAGGAGTGGAATGAGGGAGGAAAGAGAGGTGGGGAAGAACGGGAGGGATGAGGAGCGGCGGCGACTACAGGCCATGGCCATGAGAGAGCGTGGCGCGGGAGAGCGGAATGTGCTATTCAGTGTAGTTTCGGAACTGGATATGGCGGGACGGGAGGAGAAAGGACGAAGGCTCCGGGAATTTTCAGAGGCTAAATGCGATCCCAAGGGGAAGTAGAAAGAGCTTACAGTATTTCGCGTGCTAACGTTAAAAACCAGCGCGAAACGGCCCTCGCTATCCGATTACCGAGTCAGGAAATTCGGGTGGTTCAGCACGCGATAATGGGGGAAATTTGAAGAGAGTCTCTACATGTCAAATTGTAGAGCACGCTTCAGGGCAACGCCCCCAACCAAAAGCTTAAGCGACAATGCCGGAGCACACGGACGGACGGTCAGATCGCCGGATGATGATCAACTGGCGAGGCGAGGTACCGGGAAGGCCATACGTCGATGTAAAATTCCTTCCGAGATACTAGCCGATCGGTCCCCCCTCCGCTCCCCAATAAAATGAAGCGTTTCTCTCCTCAAGCTTGCCTTGGGTCCTCCTGAGCCTAGAGGCGCTGGTTCCTTGAAAGCATTCCGTAACTCGTTGCAGTGCAGCAAGGTGGTGGTGGTGCCAGTACTCATCATGCTGCATGACATAGCTCGAACACCTCTTGCTGGAACCCCTCACCGCACCATACCACGTGTATATCAAACTGCAGTTCACTAAAACGTTTGCAACCTCTCTGAAAGCTCGAAGGTGGTGCTTGTTTGTTTTTTTGTGTACTCTACTCCGTAATGACACTAAACTCATCACAATGATCAATTTCAAGATTTCGCGTCCAATCACCGTCAAACAGTTGATTCAGCTAATGGATGTAGTTTCGCAAGAACTCTGGTTACCGCGGCCTTACTTCAATTTGTTTATGTCAAACGCGCCCTAAGGGAGTGTGGTCGGTGCGGGTCAGCACGGGGTAGGTGATGGATGGGGTCGATGCGTGTGGAAAGAAGTGGTTGGATGGCAGCGTACGCGCCAATGCACAATCAGATATATCGAGTCTCACTATTCTTCCATTGAACACAGCCTAAGATTGCCAGCAAGGCCGTTTCTCATACATGTCGCTAGGGAGCAGAATCCCACCAAAGTTTCTTTCAAATGACTTCAATCTTGAGAGATCCCTTTTTCTCTTCCACCTTACCAATAGTCTTCTCTGCTCCCATCTCACCACCACCACCACCACCTCCAGCATCCCCTTCTCCCTTCAATATTTCTTCCATGCCCTCTGCCAGATAAATCATTTTCCCATGCTCTTTATCATTCCCCTCCGCATGACGCAACACCCGACCCACCATCCTCGCACTCCCTTCATCCAACCCAAGACTCAACTTCCTCACATCCCTCTCCCCAGCCCACATGCGCTTCACACTCTCTCTCACCTTCCACCCATCCGCCACCAGCACTGCCAGCAGCTGATCCTCAAAGCGCTTCTTGTCTTCGAGAGACTCGTGCCACGGTGCAGACGCTATCGCTGCCAATGCACCATCTAGTGCATCCAACGCTGCTTCTAACCCTGGTTGATTCTTTCTGTCCTTCTGCTGCTGCTGCTGCTGCTGCTGGGCTTTAGCTGCCTTTGCAGAGGCGGCAGCAGCTTCTGCGCCCTCTTTCGCAAGTTGCTTCGCCACAGTAGCAGGAGAGAGTAGGTTCCAGTATCCCTCGGGCCACACGAATTGAGAAGACACTCCACAGGCTGGCGTGAAGGGACAGCCAAGACGGCATAGGAGGGAGGCGAAGAGGGTGCAGGTGAGGATCCCACGAAAGCTAGAGGAGAAGATGGGAACCATGGAGGAGACAGGTATAATGGGACCAAAATGCGGAGCAAGAACGAGCAAGAAAACTGTTGTGAGCTGTCCCTATATCCGCCTGCTTTCCCCTCGAACTCCTTTCCCGGCCTACCTCGGAAGAAGTCTGACAGCTGCCGCCCAACTAGATCCTTGCAGTTACCACCAGTCGTCCTGATCCGGAGCTGCACATTCCGCAGACTCGCTGACCCTTCCCCGCTTGCACTGCCTCCAGTGCCTGCTGCCACCCCTCCATCCCCTCCTTCCTGCCGTCTGCCCTCTTCTTCTCCTTCCCTGATTCCTTCTTGCGACCTAATGTGGAAAGTCAGATCCATGGTGCCGGCAGGGGGGTGCTCGAGGTTGTGAGGGGCCAGGGAGTTGAGGAAGCGCAGGAGAGAGTTAAGCGATCGCTCGTTCGCCGCTGCTAAATGCTCCATGGCTGCTGCCGCATTCGCTTCTACATCAACGTTACTCCTATCGCTGCTGCTGCTACTGCTGCTAACGTTGCTGCTACCGTCCACAAGCTCTTGTGCACTAGCTCCCACACTTGCCTGTGCCCCTTGCGAAGCCGCATGGCCAACCTGCTTAACCCCCTTTACCCCCGCGGTTTGCCCTAACGGCCCTTCTTTCCCTACACCAGTCACGTCATCCGCAGTTGATGCGGATGCGATCGGATCTTTTGCCAGATTCTCCGGCAGGACCAGAAGCCGGTGGACCAGATCGTCCAACACCTGAGTGACATCTGGCAAGTCGGATTGCCGTGCTAGGCTTTTTGCTAATCGACGACTCTCACCAACGGTATCGACATGCTCTTTCGTCTGCTTCACATCCCGAGGCTGAGATGGCTTCGGATCCTGCGGCTGAGATTGGTTCGGATCCTGCGGCAGCGATTGCTTCCCATCCTGCGGCTGCGATTGTTTCGCCTCCTGCGGCTGAGCTTGCTTCAAATTCTGCGGCCGATCTGGATCGGTCGCAAGGTCGTCACTAGCGCGATCGGTGACTGTAGCGGGGTTGATACTCGCCAGGCGTGCTTCAGACGAGAACAGCGCGCGAGATTCGGCCCGTAAACGCCTGTGCGAAACCCGTGATACAGCATGTGGGTGCGAGAATCTGTGAAGGAACGACGCGTGGCGAATGGTTCTTATAGGCGACGCGGAACAACTGGCAGAGGCTCCCGGAACGGAGCATGAGGAGGCGGAAAAAACTCTCGGAAGCGGAATCGATAGCGGAGGGAATGAAGATGGGGGAACGACGGTGGCTGGAGGTGCGGTGTAGCCCAGACGGTGGAGAAGGGACAGAACAGCTCGCCGTGGAATCCGCTGAGGCGCCATGGCTGGAGCAACTCCGATAGTGTGAGGTGTGGGAGTGATCTTGGGTGTGGTGTGGTGTGGTGGTGGCTGCCCGCGCTTCAAAATTCACCGCTAATGTGAACAAGTTTTCAGCAGCTGTACGCTGTTTCTACTGTAGACTCTACAGCAAGAATGCTGGCTGGTTGAACACGGGCCTCCTCCTGGCTGACCTGATCGCGCAGCACAGCCTCCTCGGCTGGCTGGTCGCTCCAGCCTCCTGGGGCAATCTTCCCATTCTGGGTCCCGAAAAACACACATTATCAATCTGAATTTGGCATTTTGTCTCAGATTTGCGGTTTTCTAAGTGTCGCTGGATCTTTCTCCTGGCGCAGTCCATCGCTTCGCGGGATTCAGCGATGGCTTCCCGTTCGGCCTTTCTTGCTCTATTGGCGTGCCTTCTAGTTGCCACCATTTCTGTCGCAACAGCCAAGGTTCTGGTCCTCGACGACAGCAATTACAAGAGCACGGTGAGGAGGACCTATTTGGCGACTTCGGTGTCTTAGCCATAAGGCGACAGTTGCTACAGCGTGTCAAGTTCCTGCGCATGCCTGCGCTTATGCGTCTCGTGTTGTTTTCTGCAGCTTGAGGACAAGACCAAAGCACATTTCATTAAGTACTTTGCGCCATGGTGTGGCCACTGGTAAGTCTCATTTCTCGTAAATCAGCCGACATGACTCTCGTCTCAATCGCTGAACTTATCCGCTCGTTTCCTCCTGGTCCTCTCGCTCAGCAAGCGTCTTGCTCCTGCCTGGGAGGAGTTGTCTGAGTCTGCTCCCCCGGAGGTGGTAGTTGCACACGTGGACTGCACTGTCTCCAACAAACTCTGCGAGGAGCAGGAGGTATGCTGGGCTGGGACATCGCAGAAATCGTTTTGGCTGGAATTATGAAGCCAGGAGTAACGACGGGTTTAAGTGAGTACTTACAGGTAACCTCCTCTTCGCCGTGCCTTGTATTCGTGGCAGATTCGTGGATATCCCACTCTGAAGCTCTTTGTGGGTGGCAAGTTCCGTGAGCACTATGAGGGTGACCGTGAGCTTGCAGCTCTCAAGTCGTTTGTGGAGGATGTTGCAGAGGATGTGAAGGAGTCTCTCTCAGAGAAGTAGGCGCGAGTGTAATTGGTTTCAATAGCATCTTTAATGTTTTATGCATAATTCACCAAGGACAAGTTGGAGTGGTCGGAGTGATTATTGAGCTGGCTCTGCTCAATGGAGGAACAGGGTGAGGCACGAAAGAGATGACGGAGCAAATGAGAGTTACGACAATCCCCTATGTTCTAGTTGGCAGGGAGAGGGCACTGGAAGAAACAAGCAGCATGCAGACGGCCACATGATCACATCACTTACCACGGTCACATCCCCGTCCAGCTGGTTCGCATGGGACATGCAGGCATCCTCGTTTGTCCCGTAATTGCCGCTTCGCACCGCCATTTTGACGGCGGAGGCTTTCCCTTTCCACCTCCAATGCCGCCGTCAGCGATTTCCTGCCAACAAGCAGGTCTAGCCATGGCAGTCCTGCTGCAACCAGCGGCATCCTTGGTATCTCCATACAACATTTCCATAGCTCCTGACTGAGGAGTGAAGGTCGTTTTTGTTTCGCATTTTGGATCACAAGCGTCTCACAGTTGAAATGCTTTGACCGCCACATCAAGACCTGGACGGTTCTTAGCTTCTGGAAACCGGATTCGCGAGAGACGTCGAGCTCGAGAAGCTTGAAACGCCTTTGGGACGTCCAGGACCGGAGAAAAGGCTACTTCCAGCCAGTCGGTGTCTCAACACTGCCACCACCATCAGCAGCAGCCGGAGCGGCTATCGAATTCTCAGGCGCGCGTGGAGGAGCATGCTGACGTGTTTTCGCGGCTTTCTGACGATCTTCTTGGTCACACACTGCTGCGCGTGGCATCCAACGGCACGGATTTTACATGTCGTACATCCAACGGCCAGAATTGCCCCGACATCCTGCGTCTGAAGATTATGGACGCGTTACGAGACCCCGACCAGGATTCTCGATCTGACGACCCTCTCCGCGATGATGATGCTAAAGCAGTCCCTAGGATAGCATCCTCCGCTTTGCGTGAACCCTTGAAGCCGCTGGTTGTCTTCCATCACGCGCTCGTCTCCCGGCGATGGCTCCGCGTGGCTCGATCCGTGCATCCCGCCATCGTCGTTCGAAGCAACCGCCGCATCTCCTCGCGACTGCTCGCGTCCGCGCTCCTGCCAACCCCGTCGTCCCCGTCGTCGCTCCTTCCCGTCCCTCTACGTCTTCCTCCCCCTCTCCCTCTCCCGCGCGCTTCCCCAGCCTCCGTCATCTGCATCTCGGGCTTCACGCAGCCGACGCGCTTCTCAACGCCATCGCCTTCGGATGCGGCTCGTCCTTAAGTCACCTCAGCATCTCCGCCGATTCTCCCACGGATTCTTCCACCGATTCGTCCACCGATTCCCTGACCAGCAGCAGCAGCATTTCTTCAAATTTCACCCAGTGCACGCGATTGGTGGACCTGGAAGTATTTGTGACCAAAAGTCGGTACCCGAAGTTCTGGATTCATAAGCTGTACCATCAGCTGTCTGCAGCAGCTGACGCCGCTCAGCATGTCCCTGCCTAGCGGGATTACACATTTACCACCTGAGATTGGGAGCCTTCCGTCGTTGAAACAGCTGCGAATCAGTATTCCATCGCTCATGGCCCTTCTTGTAGGGGGGAATCTTATTGCCTGACATCCCGATTGGATTCTGGCAGCTGAAGATGCTCAAGAGCCTGACTTTTAGGGATGTGGGATGTGGGATGTGGCAGCTGCCTGCCTCGCTCTGTCATCTGCCGGTGCTCTCTCGCCTCCAGCTTCATTCCTGCGACCAATTTGCTCACCTTCCCGGAAACGTTGGGCAGTTGCAGCAGCTCCGGGTGCTACAGTTGTACTCGCTGCCCTGGCTTGCTGTGCTTCCCGAATCTGTGAGTGATCTGCCCGAATTGACCGACCTGGATATTCGAGATTGCCGAGTTCTCTCCACAGTGCCCGGGTTACTCCATTCCATCGTCACTCTCCAGCGCCTCACCATCCATGGTTATGGAAATGTTTCCTCTCTGCTGGAAATTTTTGGGCAGCTGTTGGATCTACAGAAGTTGGATTTTTAATCTCTTGATTTCAGCGTTGTCCCAGACAGCCTGAGCAGCCTTACCTCTCTCCAGCGCTTGAGACTGTGGGACTGTAAAAGTATCGAGCACTTGCCAAGATCAGTCACTTACCATTTGCAGTTACAAGGTGGTCGCGTTCAAGACCTCCCAGCAGATTTCGGGCTCCTACCGAAACTTCAGTCGCTGGAGCTTTCTCGACTCGGGCACCTTCAATATCTGCCCGGATCGTTTGGGCAGCTGCAGGTGCTGAAGCAACTTAGGCTGATCGGGATTGGTGCATGTGCTCTTCCTGGTTCCCCCTTTGGTCTCCCAGCCAGCACTCGAGGCTCTTGCCGTCGAAGGAGGAGCAGCGGCTGGATCATTCCTGTCTTGTTTCGAGCAGCTGCCAAATCTTCGGATATGTGATCTCAGCGGCGGCATTGATGGAATCGACGCACTGCCCGGAGTATTTCCCAGCCTGCGCAAACTGGAGATTTTGAGAATTAGTGGGTGTATGATTCGGAAACTGCCTGAAGACCTCGGTCAGGTGGTTCTGGCGCTCCGAATTCTTGAACTAGACGGAGTCTCGCGGCTTGACTGCCTGCCGGCGTCCTTGACTCTCCTAACCCGCCTGGAGTTCCTGAGCTTGAAGTTTTGTGAGCAGCTGAGGGAGTTACCATTGGGCATGGGGAATATGGCAAGCCTCACAGAGCTTCGTGTGCGCTACCATGATAACCCGGATATAAGACCCATGGGTCTTATCACATACCGTTGAGAAATAATCACAATGGTCCTAGATCCAGGGGCAAAAAACCGGGTTACCACAAGATAAGCAGCTAATAGACGACTCGGGGTGTTCTATTACTAGGCGGTCTTGTATCCGGGCTTTTGCGGTATTGTCAAAGGCTGCAGTGCTCCCGCCACTTGTTGCTGCTCCTTCCTCTCACTCAGAGCATGCGAGTGCCACTGAAAGTGGTGTGTGGGAACTAGTGTCATAAAGTCACCAGTCCTAAACACTGGGACAAGGAAAATCCTCAGGAGAGCTAGGCTCCATATTGTTAAAGTGAGAACTGAATGATTGAGTAGAGAGAGAGTACAGGTGAATATACCTACGTATTGTACCCTCTAAGAGGTGGCCCTATACAGTCTATGCAAACATAGGAGATACACATGTTTGACACACCCCCTAAACTGCATAGGGGCATGTCCTGAACAAGCAGCTCAGGGCGGCACTACTAGTCCAGCCTCTGAGACAAGGGTCTTAAAGACCAGTCAGAAGGAGTACAGACAAGGCAAGAACAAGGCCAGGGCGGCACTACTAGTCCAACCACTAGGAGAGGACACAAGTCCAGTCTGAGTACACATATAAAGGATAGTACAAAGTCAAGGCCCTAGCAAGTGAGAGGCTACAGGAACTAGACCAAGCTGTACACAGTGCCGCTGATGATCTTTAGGCGCAAGCGCCTTCGTAAAGATATCAGCTGTGTTGGCACCTGAGGCCAAGTGTACTACGCGAGCCTGGCGTCGCTACTGTAGCTCGCGCAGGAGGAAGTACCGCAGCCGAATATGCTTCGCTCTGCCCTCGAGTCGAGGCTCCTGACACAGGAGGATCATGGCCCTGTTGTCAGCGAACAGGACCGGGGCAGAGCTAGGCCGCTCACCTAAGTCAGTGAGCAAGAAGGTCAGCCAGCGGAGCTCCTGTGCCGCCATGGCACCAGCGTAGATCTCGGCCTCACAGCTGGACTGGGCAACAGACGAGGAGCGGGTAGCTCTCCATGAGACGGCACCTGAGCCAATGCTGAAGCAGTAGCCCTGGGTAGACCTGAGGGTCTCGGCGTCGTCTGCCCAAGAAGCATCTGTGTGTCTAGTAAGGACCACTGACCCACGTCCTCCTAGCACTAACCCCATGCTTGATGTACTAGCAAGATAACGCAAAACCCTCTTATCGGCAAACCAGTGCTGGGGTCGGTGTCTGCCTGTAGCCACAAAGCGAGCCAGGATGCTGAGAGGGTATGCGAGATCTGGGCGAGTGCAAGTTATCAGGTACATGAGGCAACCCACCAGCTCTGCGTAGGGGCCGCTGGGCTCTACCGACTCCTCAGAAACTGGAGCAGAGAGTCTGTGGTCTACAGGCAGAGGGGTGGGCTGTGCAGAGGAGAACTGAGGGCCGAACCTCTGAAGGACCTGGCGCACCAAGTGTGACTGAGTCAGGGTGATGGTGCGCGCAGCTGTGTCCCTGGAGATCTGCAAGCCAAGGTAACGGCGCAATTCTCCAAGGTCAGTGCACGTGTGTCTTTTCAGCAGCTTTGCCTTCACTGAGGCCAGTGTGTCCCTGTCTGCTGTGGCAAAGACCAGGTCGTCGACGTAAACAAGGATGTAGAATGGAGTCTGGCCAGCACGAACGAAGAGTGAGGGGTCTGCGGAAGACGGAAAGAACTGCAGGTCAGCAAGGGTAGCACGCAGCGTGTCGTGCCACTCACGGGGAGCCTGGCGCAGGCCATAGACGGGGCGCCGCAGGAGCCACTGGGTCCCAGGAGGGAAGGTGCCAGTAAAGCCCTGAGAGCGACGCAAGTAGACCTGCTCGTGTAGGCTGCCCTGAAGGAAGGCAGTGGAGAAGCCGAGGGAGTGAAGCTCGTAGTCACGCTGAGCAGCTAGGTGTAACAGAACTCGAAGAATAGTCATCTTCGGGGTCGGAGCGAAGGTCTGGAAGAAGTCCACCCCCTCACGCTGACTGAAGCCTCTAGCCACGTAGCGCGCCTTGAACATAGGCGGCTTTCCAGGAGGGCGCTTCACCTTGAAGAGCCAGCGGCCATCGACTACGTTCACCCCAGGCGGGGGAACTGCGTCGACGAAGGTGCCGGTGGATCTCCAATATGCCATCTCCTACTCCATGGCAGCTATCCACTGCGAGGCCCAAGGTCCCGAGGTCGCCTCAGCGTAAGTGCGAGGGGTCGGGATGTTGACAGCGTCTGGGTCACCCTCAGGGACTAGCAGCATGGAACAGAGATGGGGAGCAGCCTCGGACAGGAAAGCAAGCTCGAACTGGCAGACCTCTAGGACGTCACTGCCGAGGGCAGGAGCACCCCTGACACACGGAGGACAGGCAGGGCCAGAGACCAGAGCGGTGACGTAGTCAAGGCGGCGGGTAGAGGCGAAGTTAGCGACCGCAGCTACAAGAGCGTCAAGACACGTGACCGGAACAGACGGGTCGGTAACAAGAGAGGCAAGGACCCGAGGAACAAGAGGACGAGCGGCACGAAGGTAGTCAGACATAGGGGGGGGCGCAACAACAAGGGAGGACGGAGGAGGCGACGGGAGAAGGGGAGGACGAGACGCGTGGGAACGAAGCAACATAGGGTGGGAGCGCAAGACAGGGGAGACAGGACGAGCACGGGAGGGACGGCGAGACCAGACGTGAGACGGAGGAGTCGGGTCAGGAGACAGAGGAGGGGACACAGGGGGGGAACGAGGGGGAAGACGAGCTGGGGACGAGTCCGGCGGAGGGAACACAGGGCTGTAGACGGGAAGAGGAGGAGACGGCCGGAGAGGAACAGGCGCAGGGTCAGGGGACGGAAGGCCGAGCAGGCGAAGGGCTGATACCGGCAGGGACTGCTGCGGCGGCGGCACAACTCCGACACCGGGACCGCAAGCTGCTCCTCGGCTACCACCGGCACACTCCACGCCAGCACCCCCAGAGGGAACACCCCCAGGGCCCGAAACCCCTCGAGGACCGGTACCACCCCTAGGGCTACCGGGACTAGCACGCACTCCAGCGCCAGCACTTCCAGAGTCAACGAGCGGGTGCTGCGACGGCGGCGGCAGCGACAACGACGGCTGCGGCGGCGGCGGCGGAGGTGACAACGGCTGCGACAGCAGGGGCGACAGCGGCGGCAGAGGCAGTGGAGAAGGGGACGCCTGGGGAGGGGCAGCCAGCGAGGACTGCGCCACAGGACCACCAGAGTCAGAAGACTCCTCAACCGGGACCGCCGACGGAAGAGGGGTGACGTGGGACACACTAGAGGGGGCAGGACGGGGAGATGGAGGGGGGGGGGCAGGGACTACCGGGGAAGGAGTGACCAGGAACAGGGGGGGGGGTAACCGGGGGGCCGCGGTGGGGGAAGCGACGGTAGAAGGAGACAGACTCGTCAAAGTTGACGTCGCGAGAGTGAAAGAAGCCGTGAGACGGCAGGTGGTAGAAGTGCCAGTCGAAAGACGGGTCGGCGAAACCTGCGGCTGCTGGGGGTGCGGCCACAGGTTAAGCTGGTGAGAAGCGTAGCGCACAGCGAACGGCCACAGAAAATGGGGTGCACTGGCATGGATCATGGAGGTGCGAGCCACCTCCATGACCAAACCGATGCGTCGCTCAGCGACCCCATTCTGCTGTGGGGAGTCCGGTAGGGTGAACGTCTGGGTGATGCCCTCCGCACGACAAAAGCGACCAAGGACACCTGAGGCAAACTCGCCACCACGGTCGGAGTGAAGGCGCAAGACAGGGAGACCTCGGTGGACACGGGCCGAGACAAGCCAGGGGATGAGAGCGGCAGGCACGTCGGCCTTCCGCTCCAGGGGAAAGACCGAGGTGTAGCGAGTGAAGTCGTCGACAAGCACAAA